CCCAAGTGCTGGGATTAAAGGTGTGTGCCACCATGCCCAGCAAATTTTATTTATTTTTATTTTATATGTTTGAGTGTTTTGCCTGTCTGTATGTTAGTGCACCATGTTTGTGCAGTGCTGGTGGAGGTCAGAAGAGGGTATTGGATCCCCTGGAACTGGAGTTACAGACAGTTGTTAGCCACCAGGTAGGTGTGGAGAACTGAACCCCCACGGTCCTCTGTAAGAGCAGTCAGTGCTTTTATCTACTGAGCCATCTCTTCAGCCCCCAGTTTTTCCCTTTCTAAAATACCATGGTAACTGGAGAATCCGCTTATTCATATTTCTTAAATAATGCTGTCTGGGGTTGTTCCTAGAGAGCTTGCCAAATCTCTGGTGAAGGGGATTGTGGGAGAGTTTATGGACCATGGCAGGATAAAGGCTCAGTGTTTCCTGCTGCCCTCCATCAGGAGTCTGGGTAAGGGTGATAAGGCTAGGTTGCCTATGGTTTACATGACTTGGTCTGACCGTTTATATGTGCTGGGGATGAAATCTGTGGTGTTCTACCACTTGCTGAGCTGCATCCTCGGCCGTTTGATTGTGTACTTTCTCTTGTGGGCAGGTTGTACTCGAAAAACAAGGATCATCGATGTTGTCTACAATGCATCCAATAATGAGCTGATCCGAACGAAGACCCTGGTGAAGAACTGCATCGTGTTCATTGACAGCACACCGTACCGACAGTGGTACAAGTCCCACTATGCACTGCCCCTGGGCCGCAAGAAGGGGGCCAAGCTGGTATGTGTTAATTTTCTTCGGGGGAGGGGGGCTGCCTTCTTGTGATGAAAGTACTGTCCAGTTCTGCTACTGAAGGAAAGAGATGAATGCTTTCAGTGCTGAAGAAGGCAAGCATTAGGGCATTTGGGTTGAAGTCCTCTCTGACCTTCCTGGAGACAGTCACCAGGAAGGGGGCCAAGCTGACTCCTGAGGAGGAAGAGATTTTAAACAAAAAGCGATCAAAAAAAAAAAAAAATTCAAAAGAAATACGATGAAAGGAAAAAGAATGCCAAAATCGTCTTCTGGAGGAGCAGTTCCAGCCGGGCAAGCTTTTTGCCTCCATTGCGTCAAGACAGGGCCAGTGTGGTAGAGCAGATGGCTATTAGAGGGCAAGGAGCTGGGGTTCTACCTGAGGAAGCTCAGAGCCCAGAAAGGCAGATGAATCATTTTAACTCCTGTAATAAAGGTGTTTGTGCTGTGTTTTTTTTTTTTAAGTGCACCATGCTTCCTATCTTCCATTTTCTTTGTGTTGAATCTGCTCCTATTTTCTGACTGTGAAGAATTATTCAAACCCAGCTATAGCTTTTACTCATTTAAATATATGAAAATGCATATATGTGCACACACATATATTTTCCTCTAAAGGCAGTTTTAAT